CCTTTCCTAGAAGAATGAAATATTTTGGGAAATATTAAAAAGGCAGAATATTATATTTTCCTGTATGAGAAACGGAGAAGCATATTTTACAGACAAAGCAACTCCCACCTTCCTGCCCCCCACCCTTTGTTAATGGGCCAGAGGCAGAAACTCAATCCTTTGTCAAAGGACATTTGCAACACAATAGCAACAGAAACTAACACAATGGGCCCCATCAAGCCATGTGATCCTGTCCACCATTAAACCATCTTTCCAAGCAGTCTCCATGTTTCCAGTGTCTTTTTCTCCACTTGGAGCAGAACCGAGAAGGATATTTCTTCCAATACAGTATTTAGTCATTTCAATTAAATTTACAATTTTTATATTTCCTTTTTACCATATTTATTCCTCATCTATTTTTTTAAAAAACCAATATTACCCTTCATCCTCATCTCTAATCTTAATCAAATTCAATTTTTCCCTTCTATTCTATATTATACCCCTTCCCATTGTCATCTATTTTTATATCCATCCTCACATTGGTTAATTATGTAATAGTTGTTTAATACAAATTCAACATTTTAATATAAATCAATTAGTTATATAACTACCTTTTTTGTATATTAATCAATATGAACATGAATATTCCAGTTATTTCCATGCAATCCAATTTCTTACAAATCAATTAATTATATTTACCAATAATAATAAACCAAATAATTTCCCCCATATATTCCTCCAAACCACAACTTAACCATTTCTGCTTTCAACACAATATGCAATTAATAGTATCTCAATTATTACAATTCCCTAGTTAAATAGAGCTTTTTTTCTTCTGTGTTTTAAAATCTTGAACCTCCTCTTGCCCTAAATTTCCCATTGTTTGCAGTTTGCACCTACCTTTTTTGGTGAGGAAAAAGAAAAAGAAATCTCTCTGCCTCATTTTGTCACGTTGCAGCCAAGACCCTGCTTACTTTCAACTTTGCTTTTTCAGCATAGCTAGGGGGGAAAAAATCTGCTCCAGGAATTTACCTCTTTGCAGCTAGCTAGCAACAGAGCCCTCCGCAAAACAGCTGAGAGTAGGGCGGGTCTTTGAAGCCCGGCGGCAAGAATTTAAAGTTTTTTTCCCCTCTAGCCATTAGCTGGGACTCCGGAGGCAGCAATAGATTGGGAGTGGGCGGGGTAAGCGAACGGCGACCAGGCGATCCAGCAGAGGCAGAGGCAGAGGGTGAGGGTGAGTGAAGGCATGGGGTGTGTGTGTGAGAGAGGGCTTTGGCGACCCCCGTGAAATGGCCGTTCGACCCCCAAAGGGGTCGCAACCCCCAGGTTGAGAACCGCTGTGTTAAAGGAAAGCACCTGACCTCATGGCACTTTATCCAGGTACTCAACAGCCAGATCTAAGTATCAAGGGAAGTTATTCAGAGATATTCAAATATCCTAATATACTCTATCAGGAAGGCTATATGCTGTCTCTCGGGCACAGAGATTAACAATTTCCCATTGCTACTACTGATGTTTTCAGGGGGGAATTTAGTTCCAATATCAGCCATAGCTTCTTTTCTCTGCTTCTCTAAATTACCATTTTGCAGCTGCCATTGCCTCCACCTCTAGTCTAAAAAGCCCTTTTCCTGGGCATGCAGCAAACACAGTATCTTCTGAACCAAGCAATGGCACCATCCTCAACAAGCGGTGTTAGAGGACCTGGAAGATCACTTACCCAACCACAATCTCTTTTATAACATCTCTGGCCTCTTATAAGTATTTTTATTCTAACAATTTATATGTATTTGGAGTCTTTATTTAAAATTTAAGCTTAATAATGTAAGTTAAATTGCTATAAAAGATTGCTCTTTGAGATATCTGCAAGCAATTACTTACCCAGAATTTTAACATATAAAAAGAAACACCCACCTCCAAGAAGCCCAATTCATCCAGGAAGTTTCGAAGGTATGTTATGATCTTTGCTCGAATTATGAATTTTTGCCTTACAAAATCATTAAGAATTAAATCCAGGTATCTCTGCCTAAATCTGGTTTCCTAAAAATAAATTAAAATGAAGATAATAAAATATCACAAGGAGGCACTCTTGGAGGCTATCAAGCGAGTTGCCAAGAAAGCAGCAGCATGTCTGATACCTTGTCTTTGAGCCCAAAATGAAGATGAGGGAGCATATGTAGGCATGGTGACAGCAGAACAATTTCATAAGGAATAATACTCAGTTCCCCTTTCTTGGTCTTTCCAGGATTCCCCTGGAGCCCAATGATATCTCCACGGCGAAGCTTGTTGTTAATGCATATATATTCTTCTTCAGATTTGTAGTTTCTAAAAGAATTTTTAAAATTCAGTAAACAACATTTCTAGCTAAATCTTTTCAGCTTTATCAATGAAGTATTCACAATCCATTCTATTCTATACTGCAGGGTGGAAACTTCTATAAAGATTATTCTTTCCCCAAATTGATTCTCCAATAGTGAAAAAATATTTACATACCAAGCCTAGCAAAGAAATTGAAATTGGAATTTCAATCTCAGACTTAGTTATAAGATCTGAATTTTGTTCTATAAATTTACCTGCTAAAATACAACTATTTTAATAAGGCACTATGTGCTGATTGCCATGCTGACACATGCTGGATCAAGCCAAGTGATCATCTAGTGCAGCATTCTATATCACACAATCGGATGGATTTGGAAAACTCATGCTTGGACAGCAGTACAATATCCCTCTTCTAGAACTGCTTTGCAACAATTGACATTTAAGATATATTGCATGGGATTCCAGAGGCAGCAGTCATTAAGGTAAGTAACAACCAGGTAGACAACTTTCTTGAGAAATATTAACAAGCCTCTCCTTCTGTAGTACCTTGGTATTTGTCTCCCCTGTGTCACAAGTATATTGAGTTGCCTGCTTAGTTTAATAAAACACACTGGAATGTAACTGAACATACAGCTACACTAAGATATTCTGAGTGTTAAAAAATGGAAATCAGCATAATATTCAAAATGCTAAGACCTCAAAACCTTATGAAAATGTTTTGAGCTTAGCTCTTAAAACAAGGGGGGTTGAACTCACAACCCTTCTTAAATTGTTAAAACAGCAAGCACAAAGAGCAGAATGTGTTCAAGAAGTATACATGATTAACTCTGCTTTAATCCTCTTCTGGAAAGAAAGTATGTATTTGGGACACCATTACTCAGTGCAATTTTGGACCACTTATTAGACCATGGTTTTATTTTCATATTCTTTTTACCTTTCCTCAAAAATTTTGGGGAGAGGGAGGCATTTAAGGCACTGTTGACTCCTGGCAACTTCCTGGACAAGTACCTTCAGTTTTCTTGGCAAAATTTTCAGAAGTGGCTTGCTACTGCCTTCTTCCTAGGACTGAGTGTGTGTAAATTCCCCAAGGTCACCTAGCTGGCTTTGTGCCAAATGTGAGACAACAACTCAGTCTCCCAGCTTCTAACCTGGTGCCTTAACCTCTACAATGGCTCTGATTCTCAAATATACACACCAAAGCAAAACTAAAATATATGATCAGGAAAAAAAGAAATGAATGCTTACCTGGAGTTTGCCATCACTTGTAATTTAACTCCCTCCCCACGAAGATCATAAAAGATCAACTTTCCTCCAGAGGCACGTTTTGCGTGGACCCGACCTCCAAAAACAGAACCAAAAAGAGTTGTCATATGATCACAAAAAAGCACACCATCATAGACAACGAGCAAGTCAGGAACAAGAGCAACAAAAACAGCAAACTATTCCCTGCATTCTTCATCAAAGGCCAATCTAGCAAGGTGAGCTAGAAAAGAAAAACATACCCTAATGGCTATGTCAATTATCACCACACTTTTTCCATTCCAAGAGCCTTAACAGAACATGACATCTCCTGAGTTTTCATCAGAAAATACACTAATGGGTTTTTTTCCCTTTTGTTACTACTTTGAAGCAGAATGTTATCTCAAATCTCAACTACAGCATCTTCTGGGGGGGAAAAGAAACAAGATCTGCACTGGAAACTGCTTTCTTCCCAGTATCCCAAGTGAGCCTTTACCTGCCACTCTCACCGTGACGTTGGTTAGGTGATCCCCTGCTTGCAGGAAGCTATACTTCTCTATAAAGTCTGTCAAGGAGAGATCCACGTGAAATTTATGCGGGTAGGGATCCTCGCAAGTACCCTTCAGGTGCTGAATGGCCTGACTACGGATCTTGTAGTATTGCTGTCAAGACAACGAGGGAAGGCTTCTGAACGACGAAAAGGCGCGAGGGGTGAAAAAAGATCTCGCAAGCAGAAGATCCCTCCCTCCCTGCCTCCCGGCGTCCCGAGCAACGCCGGACTCGCTTCCAGCCGTTAGGAACCAGCCACTGGGCCGGGGCCACGCGCGAGCCAGGCCGACCGCGCTGGACGCTCGGCTGTCCGGTTGCCGCCGGCCGCAGAGTCCCCGCCCGCTCACGTTGGGGTCAAGGTCCTCCTCCTCCTCGGCGCCTGCGGCGTCGGCCCGGCGCGACGAGACCTTCTCGCCCTGCTCCTGCTGCTTCGCCTCTTTTTCGGCCGCCTTCTTCTCGGCCTTCAGACGCCGCTTCAGTTCGCTGAGAGAAAAGCCGGGAACTTTAGTGGCCCCGCCCGGCCGCCGCCCCGCCGCCCCTTCCGCCGTTCAGCCACCCACCTCGGCTGTCTGCGGCCGCCGCTCAAGAGCCGCCGAGCCCAAGCCGGGCGGCTCCCCGAAAGCAGCCGCCCCAGGACCAGCATGGGCGGCCGGCGGAGCGACACTCACTTCTTGCTAAGGCGAGGCTCTGCCTCGCTCGTCGCGGAGAGGCTCGACGCCGTCGCCATCTTTGCCGGCCGGAAGCGCGCGAAGGAGTTCCGCCCAGCGAGGAGAGGGCGGGCAAACGGGGCCGGTGGGGTGGAGTGTTCACCCGCAGCGCTACGCCCAGCGGGGCGACCCCTCCGGTCGGAGGGCGACGTGCGCCAAGAGCGAGGCGAGGGTCCGGGCGGAGCTGCGGCGGCTTCCTTTGCCCGCCGGCGCCCGCCAAGGAAGCGCCCGAAGCAGCCGGGAAGCGGCCCTTCCCTCCGGCTGGAGGGGCCTGCCTGCCTGCGGGAGAACGCCGATGGAGGTGTCGAGGGTGCCCGCGCTCTTCCGGCAAGCCAACCGGGAATTCGAGCAGGTAGTTCGGGCCCCGTGCGTGGAGGCGGCGGAAAGGGGCCGTCGAGGCTGCCTGGCCGGCCAAGGGTGCCTTGGGTAGGCCAGGAAGTAAAACTGGAGGGGAACTGCGACTTCTGAATCCCGTTTTCTGCTGCCCGCCCCTTCCCCGGGCTGCGACTTCGGACGTCTCAACGTTTGACGGCCGCATTCTGAATTTCTTCCCTTCCAGGAAGACGGCGAGCAACCCGGCTGGGCAGAGCCCGCCCCCCCCCGCCTCCCCGGGCCTTGGCACTTCGAGAGGAAGGCGGGCGCCCCCGGACGCCCCGATGACGGTGGAGATCGGTGCAGCCGGTGCCGTGGCCGCCAGCTGCCCGTCCCCGGAGCCGGAGGGCTCCCCAGCTGCCCCCGTGGCCCTAGCAGTCAAGGACATGGAGCGCTTGATGGGGGAGTTCGGCGTGGACCTGGCCACGGTCACGCAGGCTTTTCTGAAGAACAGCGGAGAAGTGGCCGCCGTGGCCAGCTGCCTGCGGACCGGGCGCCGTCCGGACGGGCGACCTCTTTGGAACAGACAGGACGATGAGGACTTGCTGAAAGGCGGAGAGGGAGCCAGGAATAACTTAGAAACAAAATATGGAGTAGGAAATGTAAATAAACGAGAGCTGTTCAGGAGAAGTTTGTGCCAGGAGTGAAAATCACCAAAGCTGCTGCAGTAGGGACAATTGCCTTTTTTTTTTTTTTTGCAATTTTTATTTCCATAGTAAGCTGTTTACTGTTAATTAGGATGGCAGTTGTTCTTGAATGGTCAATGTGGATCTGACAATAAAATTTTACAGAACTGTCTTATATATTCTGTTACAGCCATGTTTCTCAGTTAATTGACAAAACTATTTTGAATATTAGGCAGTAAGCTATATTTTTTAAAAAATAAGTACAGACTGTGTTATCTACAATGAACTTGGGCCTGGAACGAGGTCAAGAGAACAGATTTGTGGCCATGGGAAGCATTCCAGCTGCCAATCAGATAGTAGATTGTGCAGATTGTGAACTGATGGGACAAGTAAATAGAGGTTTTGGGGTGCTTTTACTTCCTTGTCAGCAACTCCAGCATTGCTTGCAGGACAAATGCCAGGTGATCCCCCATCCTTTCATGTTGGGATCCATCTACACAGGCTGCAGCTTCCTGGGGCAGTCTAGTTGTGATGCTTTGAACTGCTGGAAGCTGGACAGGCAGTATTTATATTCAACTTGGCCAAGAGGTCAAATGCCATGTTCTTTTGTTCATCCTCAGATCTAGCAGGCCGGTAACCCAAACATTTCATAGCTTCCTTGCAGATATTTTGTAACATTGCTGTTTGGAGATAAGAAAGAGTCTTTCTCCAAGCCTGTGACACATTCATTGCATCTCTGGCATCAGTGTCAAAGACGTTGGTACCGAGGCCTTGGCCATGTGTGATGTGCTGCACCCAGGACTGAAGACTGGGAAGGAAGGGAAGCCCTGCAAACTGATACAGCTGAGCAGCTCTTGACAAGGGAGCCTTAACAATATCCTCGTAGCGCACCAAGATGTAGCGATCTTTCAGGGGCTGCTTGACCTCAGTGTATATGTCAATGTGGCTTTTGCAAATTGCCTTCATGGCAGCATAGGGCTTCATGTCCTTCATATTATTATGCCCCACCACAATCTTTGTGTCTCGGGCAAGTTCATTTGCTACGTTCTCACGGGAATGGAAAACAGCCCTGGGATCACGGACCAGGTGGATGACTCTGAGGTCCAGGGAGGGGTCAGTGAGGAGAGGATAAAGCACCTTGATGTTGAAGAAACGGACTTCCTTTAAGACAACATGGCTGTATGTCTTACAAGCCTCTTCCACTTTGCTGAATGGGTAATTTCCACAGAGTATCTTGCAGGAGTGTTTAGAGATTATGTCACTGCGCTGGAAAAGGTCACATGCAGGGGGGGAACACAAAGCCCGGCTGGTCTCCCACTGAAAGAGCGCAGACTTATTCCTGTGCTCATTCATATAGGCATCAAAGACGGACATGTCACACTTGAAGACTGAGCGAATAAGGTCCCGCACTGCCATGTGCAAGACCTTGGCGCTGCCTTGGTACTTAGTTGCCCACACATGCCAGGCTGGTTCCATCAGGTAGAAAACACTGGGGTGCTGACTGAAGAGCTGCCCTACAAAGGATGATCCAGACCTCCAAGAGGAGAGGATGAGGATATGCTTCTGAATCACCTTTTCCTGGGGAGTGTGCTGAAGGTGAAAAATGAAACAGAGGAGAACTGCTACCTGGATTGCTAAAATCACCAGGATGTCAGTCTTGTTCAGCTTCAACATGGCTGCCTGGAAGTGAGAGCAGAAGACAGACAACTGTCAAAATGCTAAACTATGTTTCCTTGTTATCTTAATAGCTGCTGCTATTAGTTCCTTGCAGTAACTGTCCTGTAAACTGTACAATCATACTTGGAATATTGCGTGTTGTTCTGCTCATCACACCTAAAAAAAAATATTCAACTTGAGAATCCCTGTCCTGTAGAAATAGGCCTAGTGCCCACTTTCCCACCCTTTTCCCAGGCAGAGGAAGTCCAAGAGTGATCAGAATATTACAGTTCTCACAACACTAGTTGTAGAATTTATGTGACAAGGCAAATCTTGATATGCAGTTCATAGGATCTCATAAGAGATCCAATTGATTTTTGTAAAGCTCCATAAAATTGTAAGATGGCAGTTTCCAACTCTTCAGTGTAACAACCCAATTTTTATTCTACTGCTGGCCACAGTCCAGGCTGAGTGTGGACAGCTGGTAGTTCATTGGCTTGGCCAATGAAGCAGAATGTGGCTGCTGTAAACACAATTATCATCTGACACTTGTTAATTTTGCAAGGATCATAATTCAATCTGGCCTCTGCTATTTTCATTCAACAGAAACCAGTTGCATCTCACACCTCTGTTTAGGGCCCACTTTCCCATGTGCAGCATGGTCTTCAGCTTCCAGACTATACATTTCCTACTTAGCACTTGTCTCACTTACCTCTTGAGCCTCTGGGAATTGAAAGGAGCTCACAACATTTTCATTGGCTGCAGCCAGCTAGGAAAAAAATTGTCCCTTGCCAGAGCAGGGGCAGCATGCACTGCCTGCCAGCTGGGATTCAATATACACTGCTTCGGGAAGGAGCTGCTGGGAGGAAAAGACTCCAAAAGGAAAGTCAGATTACAATGGGGAGGAGAAGTAATGGGGAGGGAGCCTCATTAGGCCAGGCCATCCTCTACAGGACAGAAACAATAGGTGCTAGAAGAAATAGGGATGTCCTTACAAATGCCTGAGGAGGGTGGCCCAAAATTAAAGTCTAGGAAGGGTGCTCTACGCTTCCCTTCCCACATGTAGAACTGAGGACAATTAATGGAATGCAAGCCAGGCTCTCTCTCATCCTGCTCATGCTATATCTGCAGAACAAATGGACACAGCAGGTTTACTGAATGCCAGGTTTAGGCAAAGATGCAGGCTGAATGCATTGTGAACCAAAGTTTGGGCCATGCCAGGGCCAAGGACACAACTCTGAAGGACGACTGATTGGTAAAATACCTGCCTCTCTTCCCAGGTGCCCTAAGTGGCAGGGAAGGAAACAGCCTCACTTAGTCCAGACCTGAGATTCTGCCCATGAGCCAGGGCACAATGATACTTGAAGGAAACACAAGGGCCCTTGCCACATGGCTCTGCATAGGAATCTGTCTTGCCATAACCAGGAGGTCCAAGGAAAGGGAAGAAAGACAGCCAACAGGTGATCATACTGATGGGAAAAAGTGAAGCCATTTCCTCTGTTGGCAGAGGAGATGATCCCATACATTCTAGCTATCCTGGGCACGGTTATTCATGTGCCAGAAGAGTAAAGGGGGCAGGAAAGTTAGTTGCAAATGATTTCCAAGCAGCATGCCTTTGGCTTTTCCACATTCTCCTCTTCCCTCCCTTCTTCCCTAGCTCTAATGGAACAACGGAGTTGGAAGGGTCTTCTAGTCCAAACCCTGCTCGAGCAGGAAACCCTATACTATTTCACACAAATGGTTGTCCAATTTCTTCTTAAAAACCTCCAGTCTGGAGGCAAATCGTTCCACTGATTAATTGTTCTGTCAAGAAATTTCTCCTTAGTTCTAGGTTGGCTCTCTCCTTGATTTGTTTCCATCCATTGCTTCTTGTTCTGCCTTCAGGTGCTTTGGAGAACAGGTTGACCCAGGGGTGAAATCCAGCAGGTTCTGACAGGTTCTGGAGAACCAGTAGCGGAAATTTTGAGTAGTTCGGAGAACCAGCAAATACCATCTCTGGCTGGCCCCAGAGTGGGGAGGGAATGGGGATTTTGCAGTATCCTTTCCCCAGAGTGGGGGGGGGAATGGAGATTTTGCAATATCCTTCCCTTGCCATACCCACCAAGCCACACCTGACATCAGGATCAGATGGCTTCATTTATTTGACCTAAGCAAGCAGAACTTGGAAACAAGTAATGTAAAAAGTTCACCAATGCCTGACAAACAGCATGATTAACTTTCCAGAAATAGATCAGAACATGGACCAATTTGGCTTGCAGGAGTGCCAAAAATCGTCTGATTCAGCTGTGAGCTGTTGGAAAACATTCCAGAAAAAAAATCCCTCCAGGAGCTCCTGATGGGAGAGGTTACAGGGCAACAACTTGGAAGGACTAGGACTAGGTCATTTGGTAGCTACACAGAGACAAGCAAGCCAGCACTCTGACAATAATGGCAGAAAGTGGCATCTCGCTTTTCAGTTCAGAGATAGGAAAGGTAAGAATAATGATTGAATGTTCAAAATGTTTATGATCATATTATAAATTATTTTTTATTTTTAGCTTGCATATTAGAAGATTTTTACAGCAATCCTCTTAGTTGGCTCTTTTATAAATTTCAAGCTGCTGACCCTATTGAAAGCAACTTTTGCAGCATATGAAGAAATAATTTTTCTAAATCAACATAGGAATTTTTTCCAATATCAACAGGACTGGAATGAGGTACATTGCCAGGCTAAACGAAGGTGAGTGACTTAGGATCAATCCGCACAACCCAATTTCAGTCCAAGAAGGGGCCAAAATGATATACTCTATCTGCACACAACCCAACAGGAAGGTAGCCACCCACCCACCCGCCCCAATTTATGCATATCTGCTGTGCATAAAACATAGTTTCTGGCTCCTGACAGTTCAAGCAAGTTTGTCCCAGTGGCTTCCAGCTCCTAATTTCCTCCCAGGCAAACATATATCTGCTTGCTGTGCACTGTAGCAGCAGTAGTCTCTTTCCTCTAGTCCCTGGGAGCTACCCTCCAGTCCCATCCACTCCACCCCACCCTCCCCTTTTTTTGAGTTTGCCAGTGAAATGGTGAAAGCTGACTTTTGGTTTAACAAGTCAACCAAGAGAATCACAAATGGACAGATCTGTCCTTGAGTGCTTTAAACAAGTGAAACCTGCAAGAATTGTGCCACTTTCCGCTTCTGGCCCAAGTAACACATCTTTCCTGCTGCAAGATGAACTTGCATAGCTTTTGCACACAGTTAGACATTTAACATGCATTTATTCATACAAAAAATACAATAACTTATAAACTTCAAATCCGTGTACAAGAAAACAGATTGCAGGTGTACTTTGGGGTGGAGGAGAGATGAGGTTTCTTTCTTTCTGTGGAAGGGTTGGGTATTTTCTGCTCTGGCTTGCGGCTGGCACGCAGGTTCCTTCTCGCAGCTTCCCGTAGACTCTAGAAATCATTCAGCTGGTGATTGAAAGCTGTCAAGCATGCCCAGGGCTGCTGCAGAAGTTTCTTGAGCCCGCTGGGCAGGAAGGAGTGTCACTGACAGCCTACTTCTAAACAGGCCCTAGCAGTTCAGAGTCCAGAACAAGAATGATGGTGCCGAGTCAGGCTGCTCAGGGAGCAAACTCAGAGCAGGTGGAGTAGAATGTCAGGTGCACGTGCTCAGGCCTACTTGTCACATTCCAGATCCTGGGTCCCCTCTCCCCCTTGATAGTGCTTCTCACAGAAGTAGCGGATACGCTGGCAAGCCTCCATCATCATCTCCTCAGGCACGGTGATCACCACACGGAAGAAATTGGGGTACTCAAAACACTGCCAGGAGAGACAGCTGAGCCATTAGCCACTGGACTCTCTTGGGGCCTTCCCAGCTTCCCAAGCAGAGCACTGGGGTTAATGCCCTGTAAATCAGTCCCATTGCTGCTACAACTGGGCTTTTTAATGGAAAGCAGGGACAGGAGGATAGCCAGTAGACACAGCTTTTTTTTTTTTTTTACAAATTCCACTGTGCTTATTTCCCCTTGGCCCCATGTTCAAGGCCAGATACAGTTTTCCTTCTTTTTAAGAAGGAAAAGCTTGTTCCTGTTTCATCTCCCACAGCCTCCAAGGTTGCTACCAGGATGACAAGCTGCAGACATAGCTGCAGAGGGAAGGGCTCCAACCCATTTATTTTTAATATGAAAATCTAGTGGAGAGAAGAGACACTGCAGCAAGGAACATGGCAGTCTCCAGGCTAGCCCAGCCAAGGATTTAGCCAGAAGAAGATACTGCAGCACCTCTCATACCAGCCTCCATGAATGTGAAACTGGGGCCTCTGTCAGCAAAAAGAACAACTAGGGAAAAGAGAAGCAGCTGAGAGGAGAGCTGAAGCCAGGCCGAGAATTTCCATCATAACCGTCCCAGCACTCACAGTCTTCCCATGGAGAAATAATCTCACCGTGGCAGGTAGACAGAAGACTGACTGCTCTGCAATGAGCCTCTCTGTGAACTCCACATCGTTCTCAAAGTCTGGGAAATGCTCCATCTCGATCCCCACCTAGAGCCAAAGGGGTAGAAAACCGGTCACAGCCAAAGATCCTCCCTTCTCCCCCAAGAAACAGCCCTTGCTGGGGTGTCTTTGGGGAAGGAAAGAAAGTGCCTTCCATACCAACAGCTTTTCCCTCAACACCCCTCCCCAAATGCAGGTAGCTCACCATCAGGTACATGGCTCCCTGGGGCCGGACCGGTTTCAGCCCACAGACCGTGGAGAGGGCAGCATAGCAAAGGGCAGCATTGGACTGGAAAGAGCAAATAGGAAGTCAAATCACAGAGAAGGAAAACTTGGTCCTCCTCACTCACACAACTGGCCAGGCCCACCAAAGAGGACAGTGAGCGATTAAACATGTCTTACCTCAAAAATTAGCTGGACTACCAGAAGGGTGAAATATGGAATCTCTGCTTGCAACAGATGTAATGTGAGCACAGCTGGGTCCTGCTCAGTTGTGTTAGGGATGTGAAGGACAGCAAGAAAGAGGCTTCTGGCCCCTTTCCACAGCCCCTTTCCCCATCTGTCGCACAACCCTTCACATCCCCACAGAACTTCAGGCAATCTGTTTGCTCACTTTTGTAGCCCCTTTTATCTCTTATCTTTTCTAGTAATAGAAAGTGTCCTAGTGTCCAGATTTCCCAATTAAAGGAATCTTTTCTTGAAACCACCTTAGTAGCAGTTTGTTTTCAAACTGGTGAAAAACAAAACAAAATATTCTCCCAGTTCAGTATCTTTGCAGAAATATATTAATGCCCGTTTTTAAACCTTAGCGCTAATATTACAGAAAGAAATAGCAAAGCACATTGAAAAGACCAGTGTTCATCTCCCATAGCGGGTCACCTGCTGTGCAGAAAGGAATAGCTGCCAAGTTCAGGGCAGTGAGACAGGACTGACTTGGCTTTCACTGTCTTTTTTATTTCAATCACAAAAAGAAAAGAAAATGTGCTACACCTGTGTTTCGGAAGCATGCTCTGCTGCAGGTGTTGACAGCAAGCTCTGAATGTGTGAGCTTGGCTTTTCCCTGTTCTTTGTCTTGCTATTTTCCTTAGAGAACAAAGTCGGAAAACAGGTCAACTGTCCAGGTCTACATGTTCCCACAACAAAAATGACTGAGTGCGCTTGACTTTAGCCAATGCATGACTGGACCTGTTTGGGATTAAATTTAGTGCCCTTGAGACTGAGTTTATTAACCTCCCCATCACAACTGACCCATTCAGCCTAGTAGGAACTATGTCTGCCTTGGCTTCTTTCTGAGAGTACAAGCACTGCTGGCTCAGTGGCTAAGATGCTGAGCCTGTCAATCAGAAAGGTCAGCAGGGTCTAGTATAGTATAGGTCTCTTGTGTGAGCAGGGGGTTGGACTAGATTGCCTGCAAGGTCCCTTCCAATGATGATACTGTTACTGTTACCTCTATTGCAATGTGTTCTTAGAAACAGTTGAGGCCTACCTTGAGGAAGCTGAGAGTGTTGTGATAGAATTCAGGGGATGTGCGATGGAAGATATGCCCAAGAGCTCCCTGGACGGCTGTGCAGGGCCCCAAAATCCTTTGGCTCAGCCTCAGAAGGCCTTCCCTGATCTTTAAGGCACACAGAAAAGGAGGAGGAGGGAAGCATCAGATTCCTGCCTATAGGTCAGTCCCCTGCCCACCAGGATTTCCACGCTCGCTTGCCCAGCATGAAGAGGGGCAGCACATGAAGCAGGCATAAACATTGCAAGGAATGGTTGGAATGGAACCAAGAGGGCCAGCTCTTCCTCCTTCCTCCTTCCTCCTCCCCCCAGCAGCCAAGTGTGTATTTCTCTACCTCCTCTCCAAAGATGTCCCGGCGGTCGTGGATCAGAATCCATCCCATCCTCCAGCCGGGGACCAACCATCTCTTGGCAAGGCCTCCACAGGACAGGATCGGGACATTAGTGCTAAGCTTTGCAAGGGACTCATATTTGCAGTCTTCAAACACCTGAGTGTGGAAGAGTTGGAGGAATCCCGTTTAGTGGCTGGTCAAGACTCGGAGAATGGAGTCCCATACTCAGTTTCGGACACAAAAGCAGGCTTCTCTTGAAGGCTACCCTCTGCCATTGTCATGTTATTCCAGCCCCCTTCTTCTCCCCCACCCCTGCCCCACCATCTCTCTATTCCTCTAGACAGATAAACGGTGCTCCTCACTCACCATTTCTGCATAGATCTCATCAGCCAAAATGGGGACACACTGCCTAGAGGCCACTGGGCAACAGAAGGAAGGAAGACAGACATTCAGCGAGTGACTGGGTGCCCACAACTTGGATGGGCTCCATAGCCTGGAGCCTTTTGTGATTCCTTTTATCCCATGCAAAGCAGCACAGAGTTTAGCACAGGAACACATGCATGAGGCATTTCAAAGCTGGTCGGAAGAATTACCCGTCAGAATCTTCTGAAGGTGACTTCTGCTGAAAACAGAGCCACAGGGATTGGATGGGTTGTTCACAATCAGACAAGCTGTCCTGTTGTCCACCAGAGATTCCATTTGCTTCAGGTCAATTTCCCAGGACTTTTCTGGCTGGTGCAAAATGGAAAGGAAGATGAAGAGCGTGAGGAAGCCTGAAATCAAATAACAACCATCTTCACTCTGGCTATGGGGCCTTTGCTCCCTGCCTGAGTCAGAAGTGATAGGCAGGTAAAGGGGAGGGCAAGAGGGACTGGTGGCCAGCCAAGAAACTGTGGCATTGTATAAGGAAAGCTTTCTTTCCTGATCCCAATTTACAGCTCATATAATCAAGAGCTGAAGAGTGCTATTAAGTTTTATTGATCAGTAGCTGCAAGATGTTGTCTTGGAAGAAAAGATAAAAGTTTCCAAGTAAGCAATTTAACACGTTGGTTATAAACATTATATCACACATCCAGGAATAAACAATGGTTGATCTAAGGTAAGAATAACTTCGTTTTTGATCATAGTTATTTCTAACTTGCCTCTTTCTCTGAGAATTGTGCAAAAAGGGATTTTTTTCTAATTCCTGCAAAGCCTCTCTCTTCTCCAACAATTGGTTTGGTACATCCAATCTGCTATCGCAGAGGCTTCTAGCTATTCTTTTGCACACCCTAAATATGGCTTTGGTTTTGACCACTAATATTGCAATGGTTCCAGCTCTCTTTGAGACTCCTCCATCAAAGCCACTTCTCCAAGTCTTGAACCTTGGTTCTGTTTCACTTTTGGGAGAAGGGTGAGGGTCCCCATATCTAGATCCAGCTTACCAAGAGATTGTAGAACTTGACTTCGATTCCCATAGAGTGAGCCAAGGTTTTGTAGAGGGAGAAGCCAGGGCGTGGCACCAGGATGTTCTGTCCAGGATTAGCAAGGACTGCTAAAGCTAATTCAATGGCCTGACTGCAGCCACTGGTCAGGATTACATCCTGGAAAGAAGGGAGGGAGGGAGGGAGCTGTGAGTCGAATGGGCACTTCATGGCTTTCAGTTCAACAGACCCACATGAAGATCAGAGCCCCTGGAACTTTAAATGATTATTGCACACTTAAAATTAGGTGGGGCGTCAAAACGCAAGCCTCTTTCCCCAAAAATGTTCTTACTCTTTCTCAACATATCAGTGTTGTTACCTGGGCTTTCAGAGGTGCTTCTGGACAATTGTAGTAGCTTGCAACCACTTCTCGACAGGACAGGTAACCTATAATGGGTGGGAGGTGAAATGAACTGAGTGTTCAGTGCTATGGCTGATTTAAAAAAGACTTATAAAATGGAAACTTCCTGAATTCCAGTCTTAGAAGCCTGCACAGGATGTTATTTAGTGCCCTCCCCCACCCTTTTGCCAAGGATTCCCTTAATAAGATACTCTTGGACTTTCAGCTCATGTAGCAGAGGCCTTCCCCTTTGACCCAGTTCCCTATCAGGGTCAAAAAGGCTTTCTATGGGATCTCAAGGCCACTGTCTGTTAGTGGTCCACCCGCCGCTGCCGCCTTGCCTTGGATTTTTCCACAGAGCCCAAAGACTCACCCACAGATGGGGCATAGCCATTGTATTTTCCAGAGTCCAGTGCTTCTTTCATGGCCCGTGTAACTTCATCATCTGTAGGAAGGTTTCCAAAGACAGTTGGATCTCCTGTAGAAAAGTAGAGGGTGAGGTGCCTAGGTTGTCAGTGGCTGGACTGTATCGAAAAGGGTGAAGGTCAGAATCTCTCTGGACCAGCCAGAGCCACCTACTCACCTATGGACAAAGATATCAGAGCTTTCCTGGGGTTGGGCTCCACTTTCATGGCATCCACAATGGCTCGAATGGGATTGAAAGTTCTTCTAGACATTTCTGAAGCCCTGACTGCCCAGTGGGGCTTGCGGCCTTTTCCCTTGGGCAAAGAAGGGCTTTTTCCATTGAGGTTGACATGGACATCTAGGACAGAGGACAGGGCGGTGTTGTTGTTCACCTGGATCAGGCAGGAGTCCATCTCGGGAAGGGAGAGCCTGCAGGGGACACAGAACAAGGCTGATGCCAACCCCAAAGCTGTCCCTGTGCCTGCCATCGACTACCGAAACCTACAAAGTGATCGATCCCGGCAGCAGAGGGATGAGGGTGGGGGCGGGGTGGCACGTAAATTGCTACGTAAGAGTCTTCCTCTTATGTCCTGTACAGGTACCAGTTTAGCAGCCACAACACAACCAAGGAGAGAAAGGTGTTGCAGCACAGCAGAACTATCCTTGAACCTTTCCTGCTCCTTCCCCTCCTCACTCACTCTGGGAGTATGAACTTTGGCCTGTGAAAAGCTGGCCCTTTGTGCACAGGATGATCCAAGTTCACATTCTGAAGGCTGTCAGGAAAGCAACATATCCAGCTGCTCCCCTCCCAAACCCAGGAGATAAAAACCCATTACAAAAAATTTGATAAAGCACCTGAAACCAATTTGTTCTTCCATCTGTTAGAATGAGATCGCACAATATCAAGATATAAATGAAAAACCACAGAACATTTCCATATTCTTATGCAAAGGGAGTATGTATCAGCTGTGGGCAAAAATGTTTTAGGTTGCATCCTACAGTTTTCAAAGTGTCAGCAGGAATTGTTCCACTTCATTTCAGTTGTGTAAGTCACACCCTGCCTTCAGTCCCAGTTGCAATGGTAAGAGGTTTCAGGGAAATTGAAATCAGTTCCAAGGACAAAAGAGTGACCAGGGAATAGAAAAACAGAACATAAAGGACCTAAGTATGTTTAACCCTGAGACAAGATGGAGAGGAGCAATATAAGAGCCCTCACCCCAATTTACAAAAGAATGAATTCAGAAGAAGGTCAAGACCTTTTCTCTCTTGTTCTAGAGGACAAATACAGAATAATGGAGACAAGTTACAAGAAGGCACATCTGAATTGAATATTGGCAAAATCTTCCTAACAAACTGCAAAAGTTTGACTGAGGAAACGATTATCCAAAGAGTAATTGTGGCATATTAAACCATCCAGTATTCTCAGATTGTACTCCATTTGGAGCTGCCAGTCAGACAGGAAACTATAGGTCAGCTCCTTGGTCCTGGCACTGTCCAGTGTCCTCTTGTTCATTTGTTCTCCTTTTGGGGTTCTCCGGCATTGTGCCTGTACAAGGCCAGGTCATGCACAACAGTCTTCATTAGAGAGGGCACGGTTAGGAAGAGTTCAGCGAGCACCAAATGCTGCTCGAATTTTGAAATGACCCTTGGTTAAACTTATTTGTAGAGGGGGTCACTGGTGTCTCTGAACCTGTTACTTTTCAGTGCTAGCACTGATGATGTTACCTAGTTTGGCTAATGAAACATCTGCAAGAAAACAACCAAGCTCAAAGAGCACTAAGGACCCCTCATTTCAACCCTGAGCTACAAAGATACTCCTCTATTGTTACTTGTAGTGCCTCTTGGTTCAGGAACCCCAGGTGTTGGTGACTTACCTGAGACACCCAAAGATGTGGCTACAGCTCAGTGTGATGGTGAAGATGAGCAGAGGAGCTTTCAATGTGGTTGAACCCAAGGCAGAACCAGAGTGCTAGAACACAAGTCCTTTTATGCATGGCAAGCCTGCAGCCGCCTAGAGTCAAGAACAGGGTGTCAGCCTGGAGTCCTCCAGCTATTGGCTGATGTGGAGGGCTGTACTTTCCACCCAGGGACACCCCCAACTCTGATTCCATCTGGCTCCAAACATCTGGAACAAACACGGGCTGCATGTTAACTCTTTCAGACAAGGGCCAAAACTGTCTGCTGGAACCACATTGCTCCCCTTCCAGAGCCAACCATCCAATATGGGTAGAATTCTTCTTGGCCTACCTGACACCTGAGATCCATCTTCTCCCAGGGTCAGGAAAAGCCACCAGCCCAATGTAACCCCCATGGGTGAAAGAATGGACACCTTCAGAATCTAACCAAAGAGACTACATGATGCGAAGATGGGAGTGAAACCCAAAGAGTTAACTTCAGGCATGATCCAATGCTTTGCCTGGCATTTAAGGCAGCCTGATGCAATTCATGAGGCCCACCTCATCAGCTCCACGTTGCAAAACACAATAATTGATCCCAAATGCTCTAAGCACCAGCTGGGAATGGGAAGGCGTCACACACCAACAACAGATCTGCCCCCTCCTCCAACCATCAGTAATCCACTTTACCAATACCTAAAGAGGAAAGGGATTTCATATTTCTCCAGAATTCTGCTTTCTTTGGGACAGAGGAAATCCACAAGAAGTCAGTGGCTGAGTTTGATCCTTCTCTGAATCCTGGCACTTTACATAGAGAGCAGCTGTATTGACAGGCAAGAGAAGGACTCTGTCTACTTTCCTCTAAAGTACCTTCTTTCGTGAATCTTGGTAGACACTGCGGATAAATATGTGCCAGAGTCTCCAGGTCATCAAAAGAATCCAACACTGAAGAATAAAGAAAAGAAAGGGAGGGTTGGCGGGTTGCCCCATTAATGTCTGTCCTCCCCCTTCAGGTCTTCCCATTCCGCCTCTGGCAGATTTTGCTCAGTGCTCCACCAACCTCCAAGGACAGTTGTTATTTCTCTGCCCTTCTCAAGTCTTGTGGAGGTCTCCCTCCAGAATTTCAGACTGCAGCAGACAAGTTCTTGCAACCCTCACAGGCAGCCATGCTCCTCCCCACCCCCATGGCCAACCAAGGATCTGTCCGCAATCTCATCCAAAAAACAGCTCAGTCTTGAATCTGCTTAATGGAGGGGATAGCAAGGCCTTCATACAGCTATCTTTGCTCATTCTTCCAACACGCACATGAGATTATTCACATGTTTCTGAGGCTGCTTCTGCAAGGACTCATGTGTCAAGCAGTGGCAGGAACACAGATGACAGGCTCCCCAACCCCCTTGTAGCACCTAGCCCTCTTATTTCAGCTGTATCCCACACATGTACCTTGCCCCAAAGCCTAGCTCCTTTGCTTTAGCTGGGAGATGAACCAAGGACCTGCCTGAATGTGAATAGTTGTGTTCCCAGGCCCAAAGTGGTAGGGGCAAGAGGAGGGAAATAAGTGGAGATGGCAACAGGCAAAATCCTCATTTCTACCTGATTCATCCTCCCTTCCAACCATACCATCTGCTTATTAAACAATTACAAAGCCCATTATATATGGGGGTTTCTGTAAGGATCCCTATCCTGCTTTGGACAATCCTTCTATGTTGGGGTTTTCAATCATCAGAACAGCCCCTCCACGTTCCATCTTCAAGATGATTCTGATTCCCTTGTCCTTGCTCTTTCCCAACCCCAAATCAGCAAGGAAAAGGAGATCCCAAGAAGATTTCTGCTTTCAGATCCAAACGTGGCTGGACTTCATTGAAATACTTCATAGGTCATGGTAAAGGAACAAAGTAGTGGCTTTCCTCAACACCTAACACTGCCTTATCTATCTTTTATCCTTGCTTTCTTAATGAGTACATTTCATTCCTCCTTAGCTGCTTTAATGCCTCCCCCACACCCATTCTTGCCCACCCATCAAGCTGTACTAATAGAAATCTTATTTGTGTCCATCAGCAGCTCCAGGCACCCACCCAAAGCCTTGGGTAGGAGGAGCAGGACAGCAGAAGACTCTCCATAGCAAGTGGCTGAGTCACAGGAAAGGAGGGAGTGCAGGCAGGCGAAAGCCCCTTCCATCTCCATCTCCTCCTGCGCCAAATCCCTCTTTGAAGCCAAAGTCAATATTGACTCATTTTGTCACTGGCATTTGACATGTGCTTTTCTATTACTATCCACTTGCACAGCCTGTTGTCTGTGGCCTTTTCCCCTCTGTGGCCTTGAAGCCCCAGTGAGCTAAGCAAATAGACTTCAGAGGCCTCTGTTGACTTCAGCCGCAGGCCTCCTCTGAGAGGGCAACTTCTCAGCAGAATAACGCACTTTTGTGGAGGAAGAGCTGGCATCTGAAACTCTTGGAAGGGACGAGCCTTCTGCCACTCCTCTGGTTGCATGTTGGCCAGGAGGCGCTACAAGGGGCGGCGGCAACCACCAACTAGCCAAGAGTTTCTTTGTACTATCAGCAAAATTACCACATTCCCTCTCAGAGCAACATGCCCAGTGCAATGATTCCATGAAGCAGAGCAACAGGAATGGGCCAATGGTCCTGTTGGCCTCTTCTCCAAGGATGACCATGTCCTTAACTCTGAAGCCAAGAAGAGGGGTGAGAAAAGAAATGGCCATCCTTGAAGAAGGTGCCAGCAGGAATACTGGCCCATTCCTGTTGCTCTGCTTCGTGGAATGATTTCGCTGGCTTCCCCAGAGACCAGACCCTAAAAGCAGCACTGGGTTAACGGTGGGCACTTGCAAGGTGGGAATCAGCATTAATTTGGCTGGAGCCGCTAGACAGATATGTTCTGCAATCAAGGAGGAAGTCTGTTCAGTCTTGAACCGGTGGAAAGAATTGCCCAAAGTCCGTTGACCCTGAAAAACAGGAGGAAAAGGCTTAACTTTTAAATCTTGCAAAGACATAAGAGCTTGATTTTGGCTTGATTTCTACAGTAAGCCAAACCTCTACATATATATGCCTTTTTCCCCTTGTTGACCATAAAACAGCCCATCAAGCAATACCAAGTTCTTCAAGTTTCTGCTGTTTCTTTGTCCTGAATGTGGGGCTGAGTTTCTCAAACATAAGAAATACAGTAGCTGTGCCTTTCTTGAAATTTTATAATCTGTATAGAGGCCATCTCCAATGGTAGGGTGGGTGCTTGTGGCTCTACACTCATTCTTCTTCCACCTCCTGGAATACGGAACAATCACATTAACCTAAAGCCACTACACTTGGAAGTCCTCCTTTCTTAGGTAAGACGGCTACCCTCATCCTTGTGCTGAAGAAGTGGCTGTCCATTCTGTGATTGTTTGGCTCTGCAGCCTGAAGAAAAGTTATTGATGGTACACTACAGAAAGTATACATTGGTTTGGCTTCCAGGAGATTTGACAGGAGCCCAAAGGAATCAGTAGCCCAAATTTTTCTGCTATATTTATACTTTCTGAAAGCAATTATGGCCAATTTATATTTTTCAATGTCATTTCAATGTCCTCGTTGGTGAGTCCTAGCAACTTCTAGAGATAACCAACCACTCTTGAGTTGATAAAAGGATGTCTCAGGAATGTCTGGGTTACACTTGTGAGTAACAGATGGGAAAATGATCTGAAAATGAACCCTCTGGAGTATGTTATAGCTGCCAGGAAGGTTATGATTAGGGTTCTTTTGGTTTTTGGGAGTAAGCAATTTCCAAATCATTTATGAACAAATTAACAAGCATCAGCCCCAACACAAATCCTTGGGGAACATTCCCTGTGTGAGAATTGATCTGTTTTTTTTTTCCTCTTATCACAGGGATGCTAATTCTGATCAGATGTTTTGGACAAGATAGATGGACACTTTCCCCCAGATGCAGGATCATGCCTTGTATTTTTCCTACATCAACAGCTTCATCATGAGGATATGTGGGTATCACCCTATGGGCAGAATGAACCGCTTAAGATAAGCACTCAATTCTATGGATTCTATTCTATGGATAAGTAAGGATATTAGAAAGCCATAAATGAAGAATTTAAGCAACTGATGTGATTTGAGAACAAGCTTTATGTATGAAAACAATGGCCAAATGACCTCTTCTGTTTAGTTTTCTTCCCATCCTACGTAACTCTACTTTGGCTGGTCAGATTTGTCTCCATCTGAACTTTGATTTTATAACCATCGGATTTATTGTCATCTTGTTTTTCCCTACCTGTGTGAGAACTCTCACAGGTCTCTAAAAAAACAGCTGGCATGACATCTGTGTGCTGCGGTAAACACTGTAAAAAAAGAACAACAATAAAATCTGGAGAATTAACCCTATGCACATACAGTACTTGTTATACTCTGATAAACAATCAATGAATGTTGACTTAGTTTTGCAGAACTCAGATTAAATCTTCTTTGGCAAGGCTTCTTCGCCTTATGCTTAGTAAATTTGGTTCTAACTTGCTTACTTCAAGTTCACCTACCAAAAAATAGATGGTGACTATTTTCTGCTAAAGATGAGCAGAAAACAGAAGTTATTATCTGCTTGACAAGTATTCAAGATACTTTCAGGAAAGGACAATGCAGATCTGAAAAACATTGTGTGGTTTCCAATTATATAGATATAAAGTTTATTGTCATTGTATGTATATACACGGTATACCCATACAACGAAATTCACATAACACCCAGAGACCAAGTCCAACACACATGACAATCCCCAGACACACCCCCACCCACCAAAAATTCCCCACCCCTAAAACCACCCAAGCATCCACACAGCAGACCACTAAATCCTTGAGGTAGTGAACTACAACCGTCATAATAAAGAACATGCAAGTCTATCAGAAAATATTTAGTTTAACTTTAAGGTGAGAAAGTAGGACAGTTCCAAATTCCACTCAAGGTTCAATATCTGAGAATTGGACAGTGCCACATGGAATATGAAGGTTGTGATCAGAGTCAAATGCTGGTATAGATATATTAATCAGATTTCTTCAGGCAAATATTAAAAAACTGCATCTGCATAACTCAAAGGCTGTGCATAATTTCATAGCATTTTAATTGGTCTTCATGATTACTTTGGCAACAGAAGACATTTGGACAGGACAAGCACTGGTTTGTAAATCAACCTGTTGCAGGTCACTGAGTGAGCTGATTTCAAAAGACTGAGATTTGTGTCCCTGTACTGCCTACCTAAGAGTCAGTTAAATCATTAACTACTTCTGAAAATAGTTGTGTTCCATCAGGTTTCTGGATGAAAAGAATAGAACCTCTCCACCTTCAATGAACAGCCAATAACCACAGGGGAAGCTTTATGAAAACCTGACATGAAATTGTTCCTGTGACTTTCACTAGAGTTAATGCATCAATGAAAATTTGCTAGAGAATACTTCATTTCCTCTGCTGGGGAGGATGCAAAGAAGAAAGCTCCCCATGGGGAGGGGGGACTTCATAAATCTTTTGTTGGTTATTCTTTTGAAACATAATTTAGCATCCTATTCACTTCAGCCGTCCTTGGCTGAGTTCTCAGAATTAAAAGTCTTGAGACCAATTCTACAAAGACATTTTTTAACTGACAACAGTTAAAACATTGGCTAAACACTGAAAAATGCAATTAGGTTGTACTGTGCAAAACTATTCTTGAGAATTTGCACACAATGTATGAGGAAGGATGACTGTTGCACTGGAAAAAATTGAAAAGGGATTAAATAGCAAAGCAGGATTGTTTTTTGGAAATAGTTCCTGGCTATTTTATAAGTATTCAACAGTACTGTCATTTTCTACATACACAGTGAAAAGGTTTTTGGTTTCACCCCTCTATTACTACATTCTTCCACTGGGACAGATTCTCTCTTCTAACTTGCAGGGATGGACATGTTCAGCTCTTCTGGAAAATGTATAACGTCTGCTTTCTTTCAGACACTTTTTTCCTTTGTCATGCATATAACCACAAAAGAAAATGTAACAAAAATAAGATACTGGTGCTTAGTTGAAATCCTTAGAGAAATGAAGGATAGTCAATGTACTTAATATTTCAAACCAGAATAACATGGCCAAACAAAAGAACTGAGCTTGGACATGAGCCATGTAAACAATTCTGAGACATCTTTGTTCATGGATTTATGATACTGTCTTGACCAAATGTAAAATAGCAGTGCCTCACAATAACTTAAAGTAACCTTTATAAAAGTTGACAATTGACCAGTATGAATTTTGGAATGGTACAGCATTATAATTTATTTTAACAGTGAAATGCAGGCATGCTGAATTGTCGTCAGCATTGTGTCGTATTAAGGAAGGTTTACCCATGCCCTGCTCAGCTTGACTTATCTGATTGTGCTTGGAACAGCAAACATCGGGGGACTTCCTCATCAGCCATCAGCTAGAGTTCTCCTGGGTGCCTCAGCCATCCCTCCCTCCTAGCTGAGCAACTAGGTCATTTCAGACTTTGAGCTCTGCTAAGGAGACCCATTATGGTGAGACAGACGATGTCTAACCAGATGCATCTGGGAGGAAGTTATCTGACCTATTTTAAAATCCAAACCAGGAAGAAATAATTCTGGACATGTAAAAATTGTACCTGCAGATGAAAATCCTAAAATTTCAGAGCTATCAGCCAGATTTGTAACTATTGCTATAAAAACAATTTTTTAAATAACACTAACTTGGGATTTTAAGTGTTTTATGACAGGGGTCCCCAGTCCCCCGGAACTGTGGACCAGCACTGGGCTGTGGCACGCCAAAAACAGGAACGCGCAAACAAGCGAAGCCCTGGGATGCAGGCAGCATGTGAAACCACACAAGGGGTCCACGGAAAAACCTCTCTCCACAGAATCAGTCCTTGATGCCCCAAAGGTTGGGGGCCGCTGTTTTATGAAACATTTATTAAATATTTTACTTGTTAAACTGTTTTATCTGAGATATGTGATAACTGTCTCCCAGTACTTGAGGGCCTATCACAGAGAAGGTGGGATTCTCTAAGACACCAGAGGGCAGCACAAGAAATAATATAGGTGAACTGGACACTTGTTAAAGAGAGCTCCAACCTAGAAGGAGAAATTTTCTGACAGTGAGAACAATTAACAATTAAGTTTGCCTCCCAGGGTTGAAGGTGCTCCCAGTCCCATCACTGCAGGGTTTCAAAAATAGATTGGACAACCAATTGGCTGGATGGTATAAGGCCTTGAGCAGGGGGTTGGGCTAGCCGCTAGAGGATTTTATGTCTGTGTCTATCTAATGCCAAGTTTACATTATATTTGCACTTGCTTGAGAATACAAAAGCAATATAATAAGAAGTAGCCATCAACCTAACCAAAATTAAAGGGAAGTCCAACGCCCAACATCCCCACCCCAACATTCCACCTGCGAGGGAGGAGACCCCAGGCCTGGGAGGAGCGCCAGGTCCCCACAGCCCCGGGAACCGCCAGATCCTGGGGGGCCCATTCCCGAGGGCAGGCGCTGCGGCCGAGCAGGGGCGCGGCTTTCCCCGCAGAGGCTTCGCTGGGCGGCAGGGCAGCTTGACGCTCCCCTGCCACAGCTCCTCCGCCCGCCAAGGAGCTCTTCCCTCGTTTGCTGGCGGAGCTCCCGACTTTTCCTCCAGCTCGAGGGATTCCCCAGACCCCAATCGCCTCGGCTCTCTCTCCGGGCGGAAAGGCAGGGACGGCACAGGGGCGGTGGGGCAGTAGGCGCCGCTTGGCGGAGGAGGAACCCGCAAGGCTCTGTGCGGAAAAGGGTAGGAGGGGCCGGCCCGGCGACGCAACGACCGAGAACGGAGCCACAGGAGCGGCTCCAGCGAGCCCCGACGCCCCGCGCCAAACGAACTGAGCTGCCGGATTAATGGAATAAACCGAGTCGGGGGGCTCCCTTCTGGCGCCCTCCGGGAGGAGCTGCGGGGAATTTTGCGCGGGGCAGGCCAGCTGTCGGCGCCTGGGAGAAGCGGCCGAGCGTCCTGGGTCTACCGGGTCCGTTTTGCTTGATGAGCCGGCGGCGAGGGCGGCAGCTGCCTCTCGTGGACCCGACGGGAAGGGCGGCCGATGGCGGGCCCGACTGGTCTTGAAAGCAAAGGCGAACGGGCCCGAGCCCTCCTGGCTGGAGAGCGAAGGATGGGCCGGCACTTGTAGCTGCCTCCCGTCCCTCGGGCTCTCTGCCTAGCCGGCTCCCACTTGTTCCGTCTCCTCCTCCTTTCGGCCCGGGACTACTTACCGCTAGCAGCCCGGAGCGGCACCCGGCGGCTTCAGCGGAGCCCACGCGGAGAAAGCCCAGCACACGGGAGGCCGTCCCGAGTGAGGCTGGAGCCCGCGGCTCGGTGCCAGCGCTCTTTTGTCGCAATGGCTGGCACAGCGGCGGCTTCGGCTGCAGGTGACCCGGAGCAAGAATATCTGCGGGGCTTTTCGCGGCGGCGGCCGCGGTCTCCCTTTTGATTGGTGGCTTCCGAATCAGCCGGGACCGTCAAACCAAAGCAATCCCGAGGGACGAGCCTGGTCGGGCGGGAAGGAAAGCTGTGGCCACTCGAAGCCTCCCCCCCCCCACCGCGCAGCACTTTTGCCCCGGACCTTGCAGGAGCTCGCCTTCAAAGCCAACGAGCCCCTTTGCTGCTTCTCCCTCGCCCAGAAACTGTCAGCTCTGAAAGATCCCTATGAACCAATTCTTTGGGATCTTGCTGTAGCCATTTTTAAAGTCCCGATGAGGCTCCAATTGAGAGCTGGGAAGATGTAGCTGCTTGAGTGGTCAAAAGATCTGCATTCCTCTATCCTTCTGGGGAGACCATGTGCCTGTATTTTTCAATACAGCCCCCTTGGTTCTGCCTCATATCTAGGGCAGCACATAAGACTGCCAAATATTATCCAGGGCCAACTTTGTCCAAGAAAGATTGTCCTGAGGCTGCTACACTTAGCACTGAACAGCTGCCACTTACCAGCTTCTTTGCAGGGCCATGTGAAGATGGGATCAGCCCCTGGCCAAAAGGCACATCGCCTTCAGCTCAGTCTGCCTTGAACTTACCCTATAGCACAAGTTATTACAAGAGCTGAGAATTTGGTTTTTAATTGTGCTATATATTTATACTTTATAAATCACAATAGCTGGACAAAGTCTTAGATGTGAGATCCAGCTGTGGCCTCCTGGACTTTCTGATCCAATTTCTCCTTTTCTGTTTTACTTATAAATAAAAACTAACTTCTTTCAAGCTCGTATCAAGTACAGTTACTCTTCGGGAACTCTCAAATCTTTGTTTTGTGGGAATTGCAAAGCTTAATTCCAGTTGCAGCACGTGGACTTATACAAGGGTTGAGGGAAATTCAGACACATCACAGAAAGATTTAATCATGTCTCATTACAAAAGCAGATGGACTAAATTACCTTTCACATTTGGACATGGCTTTCCTTGTGGCAGCAAAGAATTGTTTTCAGCCACTGGAAGTATTTATTGTACAATTCACCCAACATGCCAGGATTAATCATCAAGCTTGAATCTGCTAAAACAATTTTCTGAACATGCTGAACTGCTTGCGGGTGGGTGTGCATGTCCACTAAATCACAACCCACCAGCTGTGCTTTTGCCTAGCATGTACAAAACTCATACCAGTGTCTTAGTCTCTCAGTGTCCTTCCCTTCCAGCCATTTGACTCTCGGTGTAGCCCTTCAGTGCTTTCATCAGGGGTGTCTTAGATCAGTGTTGGTGAACCTTTTTGGCACTGAGTGCCAAAACAGGAGCGTGTGCTGGAAACCGGAAGAGCAGTTGCCCAGTGTGCACATGTGCACCAGAAACCTGAAGATTATCTTCCTGGCACGTGCATGCGCACTGGGCAGCTGGTCTTCTGGTTTCCGGTGCTCCCACGCGCGTGAAGAGCAGCTGGCTGGCATGCCAGAACTTGGAAGAGCAATGGGCGATGGCTCGCGTGGCCAGAGAGATGGCTCTGCGTTCCACCTCCGGCACGCATGCCATAGGTTCACCATCACAGGCTTAGATCCTATGCTGTGTCACAAAGAGAGCATGCTATAGCATAGCTATGCTATGAGGGAATGAACTTGGGATTGCTCTCTGAAGTTTGAAATAGCACTTGCAGCCTGTCATAAACACTTAGCGCCCCTACTTCCCTCATGCATGCATACATTCCCTTGTAATTTTACTCATAGGCATACAAAGTGTTGCAGTTGCCTGTGATAGATCTTATCTATCTGTGGCAGATCTTATCTTAAAAGAGAAAATGCTAAGACAATGTGAGGAGGGATGTAGGAGAAAGATGATGAGCAACATGGACAATTGGCAGCTTATTACAAGCAGGCAAGAGGACTATCAGTCAATTGCCAGGGGCACAAACTACAGGTAGTCCTTGACTTACGGATACAATTGGATCTAGAATCTCAATTGTTGAGTGAAGCAGTCATTTAAGTGAAACACAATGTTGACTGCTTTTTCGTTCTCTGCTCAAGTACAACTGGTACTTTCAGTTGTAGACTTTAAGCAATTTCCTGGGTTGTTAAGTAGACAGAGTGAAGAAGCTGCCTGTTTGGAACTGAAATCCTCTTGGCAGGCAGCCCTTTTGCTCTCAAAAGTTCCTGCAGCCCACCAAAGGATTTCAGGTGCTCTCATGCATGGAGGGGAAATCCTTCATTGGGTTGAAGGAAGGTAGCTGAAATCCTGAAAATTTCAGCTCCATTCCTTCAGCCCTCAAAGGATTTCAGCTCCCTTTAGCCCTTTCACTTGAAATCTTTTCCTGCTGGCTTCTCAAGTGACTTTGTGGGGAAGCCAGCAGAGAACACTGCAAATGGTGATCACTTGATTGCGGGGCACTTGGCAACTGATCATAAATGTGAACTGGTTGCCAAACACTTGAAATGTGGCTGTGATTGTATGGGGACAACCTTTTACCTGGCAGAAGTACTTTATGGCCCATAAAACACCCTTTCTGATCATAACTGTGGTTGCTAAATGTCCTAAGTCAAGGATTAGCTGTATCCACAAACTAGTGTGAGCAGTATATTCTGGTGGGAGTCTTGCCCGAAGCTTGATAGCAACTAGGAAAGGAGCAACCAGAGTGAAACAGCAGTTCCTCCCAACTACTGCTAGAACTTTGGGAAAGGCTTTTTTGAGACTTTTGTTTGAATTGAGTAATAAAAGACTGAGTATAAAGAGCTGAGTGGTAAAAATATGTATGTGGGAACATCATAAATCTAGAAGAGCGGAGTTGACTCAGAGCAGTAGCCTGTTGGGGAAGGGGTGCAATACGATCAACCTGATTCATAAACTGTATTGTGTAGAGATTTGCTATGCCATGGTGCCAGCTCTTGGAAAACAAAGACCCCTCATACTTACTAGAAGCAGATTAATTGCTTTTTCTGCAAAGCAGGCAGGGATCCAGGATAGGAATACAAAGGACTCCTTTATAAACACTTATCTTAGTCTTTCACTTCTGCATTAGACTAGTTCTTGTGAAATCTTGCTGAACTTTTGGATCACTGCACTCCCCATTTGGGACATGAAGTCCCAAACCAGTTATTAAAAGCAGGACATCTCATTAAACCAGATGGTCTTTATTTCAGTGCCAGTATTACAGATACAACACAAATGTCCCAGAAGAACAAACTCAAATGGAACCCAGGACTGACAGACTCAGGAAATGAAAGGGGGGGGGGTTCGGAGCGGGAAGCAGCTTTGCAGTGGAATCTTGAGATGAGTCTTTCTGCAGCTAATGGGCCCCCCCTCCATCTCTAAGACGTTTGCCCAGGAACACACTCTTCCTTTCTACTCATCCTACCACAGCTGACAGCCAAGGAACAGACAAAAGGAGGTCCGAGATTTGGGATGGGGCACACTGAAAAACGACTTGCTAGAGCAGTCAGTCTTGTCCATCATGATGCTTCTTCAAAGAGGCACTGGCCCAAAATGGGCTTGGCTTCACTGCCCAATGTTCTGCCAAATCCTCTAAGCAGCGTTTCTGTCCAGAACAGCAGATCCATACAGGGCTCAAATCACTGCTCACCAAGGGTGCAGTCATGTGTAGAAAAGGGCCCCAACATCAGGGGAACCCAAGGAGAAAAGAAGGGCACCAGCTTCCTTGAACAAAAGCGTCTAAAGATGGTAACCCGGTAAGAAGGAGCCAAGCCAAACCCAAACCCATCTCACCCACCCATCTGCTGGACACAAGGCGGCAACAGCAGCACAGCAGCAGCCCCCTTCTCAGGGGAGGGAGGAGAGAGCACATGTCCCAATGTGCCCCCCCTTCCCCAAACAAGGGAACATGGCGTCTGTGGTGGATGGGGCTCAGCAGTTCAGGAGGGGGAAGAGAGTGTGCGAGGTTCGAAAGAGAGATGCTTCAGGATGAGCAAGGCCAGTGCTCCTCGTCCTCTGCAGCAGCAGCAGCAGCAGCAGCAGCAGCTCCCCCAGCCACGGAGAGGCTGGGGAACTTCTGGAGTCACAGGCTCTGCCCAACATTCCTTTGGCCAACCAGGTAGGGTGAGGAGAGCAGAGCTCACTGCCAGGACTGGGGGGGGAAAGAGTTGACCTCTGCCAGGTCCTGCATTGCCGAGCCCTTGTGGTTGTATGTCAGCTTGATCCGCATGCGGAGCTGTTGCTGCAAAAAACCAGAGAGGTGAAAACTGAGCAGGGGGTGGAGAGGAGCCAATGTCCAGCCCTAGCCAGATAAGATACCAAGAGGGGAGTCAAGCGAAGAAGAAGCAAAAGCCGCCTCTTCCTTTGCCCAAGGCTCCCTTGCTTCCTTTATGCCTCCCTCTTCAATCTGAACAACCCTTACTAAAGGCCATCTGAAGGAAGACTGGAGAACTGCCTCACTTATGTACCTTTTGCGGATTCAGGACTTTGATGACTTGTGTGATGGTCCCTGTATTAAATGCTGGGATGCTGCTACTGCTGGGAGACAGAAGCTGCAGCTGGAATGTCTAGAAAGGAACAAATAAGGGAGCCAGGCTGATTTCCTGGCAATGCCAAGCAAGCCCTCACAGAAATATTCTGCAAGGCTGCTAGCAGCAGTCTTCTGATGGCCAAACCACATCTTAGGTTAGCCTAAGACCTGACTCACCTTTGGTACCGCAGCCTGGAAAACAAAATCTGTCATGTCCACATCAGTGCTGTTGGAGGCCTGTATGGTGATGACGGTGACACTGGGGTTGGTGTTGGAGCGCTCAAAAGCAAAATCAATCTTCAGCCCGTTCTTGTTGTAGGCTGTGATTGGAGGAATGCCTGTGGAGAACCAGCACTGCTCAAGTTCTGGGGCCGCCTGCAACCTCCCTTACCTTTTAGAAGCTCAGATTCCAACACCCTCACAGGCGGATATGTGAGGAATCACGCTGCAGGGGAATGCCTGGCTTTTGTTTCATTCTCCTTTTAATTCTGGAGTGGTGTCCTGGAAACTGCCTGGACCGGTCCCTGTGGTTTTCTTGGCAAGGTCTTTGGAAGGGGCTTGCCACTGCCTCCTTCCTAAGGCTGGCCCAAGGCCACCCTT